CTGTACCTGACTGGATGGAGACAGGTGTGTGTGTGTGTGTCTGTACCTGACTGGATGGAGACAGGTGTGTTGGTGTCGATGTGGTTCTTGGCTCTGTGTGCCTGCAGGTGGATGATGGGAATGATGAGTGGAGCTGACACTGCTCCTGCTGTCATGATGATGACTGTTCACCTGTCTGTCAATCAATCAATCAATCAATCAATCAATCACTCACTCACATACATATAAATATGTAAATAACCGTAACCCACAGTAAAAGTCCTCAAAAGAAGAAAGAAGAAAAGTGTCATCTCTCAGACTGAGACATGATGGAGCTTCAAAGGTGAAAGGTCATGACAGATTGTTTTCAGCATCATTTCCTGTCAGTTGGTGTAAACACGTCACGTACTGTCGTAAAACAAGATCAAATAGTTTTTCAGGACTTCACCTCGAGTCCAGGTTCCTGATTCTTCACAACTTGAGTCAAAGTCAAATCAACCAGCGAAGAAGAAACAGGAACAGACACAAGTTCAGAGGTCAACACCTGCTGCGCTAGCTCTAGCTTTAGCTTTAGCTTGTACCTGCTGCTGTTTTCATTGTTTTCTAGGGAGTTTGGAATGAGAGAAAACTGCCGCCCACACGGGAGACTCTGGGACCAGAAACAAACTCACGTACGTCTGGAGGCTGTATATTAATACTTCCTCTGGTTTGTTTGTTTCCTTCGTCGGTGTGTAAGTGTGGAATAGTTCATATCAATAATCAATTATCAGTCTTACTCGAGATGATGAGAAGCTGCAGATTGATCGATCAGCTTGTTGCTCGGTCTCGGACAGTTTACAGAAGCGTCACCATAGCAACCCCCGCTACCCGACAGGTGCGCTCGTTTTAAGCACTGTGAGTGACGACACCGCCCGCCTCGCCGGGCTGCACCGGTACAAACGTTTAATTAACTCTATTTATATTCAAACATACAAACAATTTATAAATGTAGAAAACTCGTGGAGGAGAGAAAATATTTGTAGAATTGTTACGATAATAAATAAATGTAACGTTTTTACATGTTATTTCATCATCTGACACGTGACTCGTCTTAAATTACATGTGCATGAAAGTTTGCTTTTGTTTCCATGTTAAAATCTTATGAACCACATAAATGAGTATTTAACGAAGCAATGAAGGAATTAAATTAAAGTAGCTTTTACACGCAGTATTTGTTTTTTCCTTCTTTTCCATTTTTATCTTTTCCGCTTTTATCATGAGCAGGTTTTTAAACAGGCAGTTTTCAGGACGCCCCGCTGGCAGCCAACTTTTCAGGACCCTGAACCAGCGTTAGCTAGCAGGCTAACAGGCTAACAGGCTGACCAACAGAGGCGCAGACAGAAACACGGAGGACAGAGTTTTAAGAAAATGTCTGAAGTCAAAGTGAAGAAGGAGACGAACCTGTCGGACCCTGCCGAGATTGAGAACAGGTCAGTGGGACAACGACAGCGAGGCTCATCCCGGAGCCTGCGGTTCATCCGGAGAGAGATGAAGCGGGCTCCGTGTAAATCCTGACAGGTGTCTTTACTGGCTGTTGTCAGACCCGGTGAACACGTGCTGCCAAAATACTCTCTCTGACCCGTGTAGTAGTTCTGTGAAGTCCGGGTCCATTCAGCCCACTACACTTACAGTCTCTGTCACCAGAACCTGAACAGTGTCTGCTCTCCACCGGGAGGACTGTTAGCATCTCAGGGTGTCCTCCTCCGAAGAGCTCTTCATGTCTAAAGTGGAACTTTATATTTATCCGTTCAGTTAAATCCAGAGTGTTTGGTCAGTGTGAACGTCACCAGGTGAACAGTCACCTGATGTTACCTGCAGGTAACCTGCTCCCTGCTGAGATTCTCTTCCATTTATCTTTATTTAGAGAATATTAGTATTAGAAATGAATAGTGTCAGTTTGATACTGATATTTTCTGATGCCATACTTGAAGAAATATAAACATTTTCTCTTTTTTAATAAGTACACACTGCAGACATGATGACGTATTAATTAATGTTAATTGTCTGTTTGTTTGTAGCTTGTCTCTTTTCACACTCAACATCTATATTTTATCTAATTGTAGCAAATGATCAATTATGTTGTTTTTGCTTTTGACAGTTTAATGACATTAAACATGTGAAAGAAAAAAGTAGAGACAGGAAGGAGGTTCAGCAGCAGATATAAACTATAGATATAAACAGGACGTCTTCAAATGTTTTATTTTGTTACTGACACAGGAAACAGGAAGTCATTCACACCTGAGAGAATTTACAACGATCAGTCGATTATCAGAATTGTAACAGATCAATTTTCTGTCAATCGATTCATCATCGCAGCTCCATCCTCCATCTTTACAGACACTAACACTTCCTCTGTGTGTGTGTGTGTGTGTGTGTGTGTGTGTGTGTGTGTGTGTGTGTGTGTGTATAGGATCAAAGAGCTGTGTCAGCAGTTTCCTCATGGTATCACAGACCAAGTGATCCAGAACGACATGCCTCACCTGGAGCCGCAGCAGAGAGCCATGGCCATCAACAAGCTGCTCTCATTGGTCAGTCTTGTGATGATGTCACTGCTGACTCCTCTCTCCTGATTGGTTCCTCAGATTAGACTGTAACCATGTTCTCAGCTGGTAGTTTATTGATGATGTCAGCTGGTCTGAACCCGTCCTGTTCACCTGTTCCAGGGTCACCTGGACCTGCTGAGGAACAGTTCAGGTCTCCTGTACAGAATGAAGGACGCTCAGACCTCCAGGTAAACACAGCACACACCTGTCCCCTCTGCAGGTGACTGATGCTGTTATTGCTACAACTTCACAACTACACAGACACGAGCACGCTGCTAGAACACAGAACTACGACACAGCAGCGGTGATGAAACACACACCGAAGGAAACACTAACAGTGTGTGTGAAAAAGTGTGAACACAGACGAATATAAACTACAGAGCCTTGTCCATGACCCCCCCCCCCCCCCCAACCCTGACCTGATGTGTTGTCCCTGTGACTGAACCTGAACCTGAGCTGTTTCCACGGTTTCCACTGTTTCAGTAAGATGAAGGGTTCAGACAACCAGGAGAAGCTCGTGTACCAGATCATCGAGGACGCAGGAAACAAAGGTAAGGCTCAGCCAGCTCACGCACATCTCCGCCCCGTCAGATCCAGAGCCTGAGTTCTCGTGTCTGCAGGGATCTGGAGCAGAGACATCCGCTTTAAGAGCAACCTTCCTCTGACGGAGATCAACAAGATCCTGAAGAACCTGGAGAGCAAGAAACTCATCAAAGCTGTGAAGTCTGTGGCTGTGAGTTCAACATGAGTCTCTGAGCCTCTCTGATCAGCTGTGGAGATACGGGTTTTCCTCCTGACAGGTGTGTGTTTCCTGTGTGCAGGCGTCTAAGAAGAAGGTGTACATGCTGTACAACCTGCAGCCGGACCGCTCGGTGACCGGGGGCGCCTGGTACAGCGACCAGGACTTTGAGTCCGAGTTTGTTGAAGTTCTCAACCAGCAGTGCTTCAAGTTCCTGCAGAGCAAGGTTCAAAAAACTTCATGTGTGTGTGTGTGGGGGGGGGGGGGGTCTGAGGCATTAGTTCCCCCCCTAGACTGCCCCCCCCCCCCCAGGTTCAGTATGGGGACTGGTTCGGGTCATGTGACCCTCACTGTTGGTTTGTGTTCAGGCAGAAGCAGCGAGGGACAGCAAACAGAGTCCCATGGTCCAGAGGAACAGCTCCTTCGCCACCTCGCATGAAGTCTGGAAATACATCTGTGAGCTGGGAATCAGCAAGGTGACATCACACTCAAACCAGCCAATCACACGTCACTGTAACCACCTGAGGGGCCGCAAGGCAAACACGTTATTCAGAGAAACTCGCCAGACTAAAGTGAATAAAGTGCTCCCAGGTTGACTGACAGGTGTTCACAGGTGGATCTGTCCATGGACGACATCGAGACCATCCTGAACACGCTGATCTACGACGGGAAGGTGGAGATGACCGTCATCGCCGCCAAGGAGGGAACGGTGGGCAGCGTGGACGGACAGATGAAGCTGTACCGCGGCGTCAACCCCGTCATCCATCCCACCGGCCTGGTGAAGACGCCCTGCGGCCTCTGCCCGGTAACACACACACACACACACATACACATCCCTCTGTTGGAGACCTGCAGGTGATGTGGTACCTGTTCTCTCTCCTCAGGTGTTTGACGACTGTCATGAGGGAGGAGAAATATCTCCGTCCAACTGCATCTACATGACGGAGTGGCTGGACTTCTGACCGCCGTTCGTTTCCCGCCTCTTTTCTCTGTGATGAAGTTTATTTTCCATCGATCTGATTCTTTTCTATTTTTGACCGAGGTCAGTGACGGTGGAGACGAGACGAGCTGCTGCTGCGTCTCGTCTCTGTGACGAACAGCACAGAACCACATCTGGATCCAGAGTCCTGGGTCACGTCCCTGTGTCATGTCCGGCTGAGAGGCGTTGGGCCGGTGTTGGGCCGGGTTCACGTTCTGCTGGTTTACCTCAGTCTGAGTCATTTCTGTTCCTCGTGATGGACACGTGTCGATTTCAGCTGAAACTTAGACAAACACATTGATTATTGATCGTTTCATTGATCCATCAGCTCCCTGCAGTCTGAGTCCAGACAGACGGTGAAGGAGGCTGCGTCTGGACCACAGTCCGTCTTTTGTGTCCCATAGACCTGTTCAGTCCTCATCACATGGTCCGGGTCCTCATAACTGATTATTGATAACTGATTGATTTGATCAGTTTGAGCTGTAAATTCTTCTCAGTGAAAATGTTTTCAGAAACTGATTAAAAATGAAAAACTGAAATCTTTCAGACTCTTTGTGGCTCTGAACTTTGATCAGCTGATTCCTGCAGGACGACGGAGGGAGAGACAGTGAACGCATCATGTATGGGGTTTAAAAAGAAACCCTGGGTTCAACACTGTACCTGAAGGCAACACTGAAGGCGTCCTGACCCTGACATGCTGCTGTGTTGGAGTACGGGATCAGATTAGGGTCAAAAAGAGTTTGAGTTCATAAAGTGAAGTTAAATAATTCTAACACACACACACACACACACACACACACACACACAGTGTTTGTGTGAACAGATACAGAGCAGAAAACTGTAAAACTCAAAGTTCCCACACTGTTGTTGACCCTGAAGTTACGAGTAGATTTTCACCCTGTTTTTGGACCTGAATCTGATTGGACGATAACGGTCCAATCGGTCTTTACTAGAGTATAATCAGCAGCATTCACTCAAACTGTTCATAAATAAAATAAAACTAAAGATCAAAGTTCATCACTGTGTTTCCTTTTCATCTTTGACTTTAAAGTAATTATAAATATTGACGCCATGTTGGTTCTTGTGATGTCAGAGGACAGGTACTTCGCCCCCCCCGATCCAGGTTCAGTGCAGGTGTGTCCTCGGGTCATCATGTCTTCACCATGTCCAGGTAACATCAAAGTGTCAAACAGCTCCTCCTCTTCATCACGAGGAGCTGATGAAGACCATGAATCTGGTAGATGAGCTGAGTGTTTCCTGGATCATGTGATGGGGGAGACGGTGGGTGTGGTCTGGACTGACAGCAGACGGCTCTCAGGTGAGTGTTTATCCAATCACAGCTCATTAGGCCTCAGTGTTTCCCATCAGGGATCATTACTGAGTCCATCAGCCGGTAACGAGCTGAGAGCTGCTGACTGTCAGCAAGGATCACTTTACAACAGGAAGTGCCCCCCCCATTGATCCAGACCGGTCAGCACTCAGAAATGTTCCAGGATCTTCTGTCTGTCTGAAGACTACATTACCCATGAGCCTTGGCAGCAGTTACCTCGTAGTTGTGAATTCTTCCTCTGACAGCAGCCAGATATTAACAATTCCATTAATTATTAATTAGCACTGACTTGGAGCCGCGCCCTCTGTGTGACATCACTTCCTGTTGGTGCTCAAACACAGAGGTCAGAGCCTCTGTGTGATGTAGGTTTATTTATTTATTTAGATTGGCAGCATCTACTCTTCCTCACTCTGGTAAACATGACATCATGATGTAAACAATAAATAAAAATCAAGGACAAGAAAACAAACAACAGTTAAACTAATAATAATAATGACAAGTGTTTATCTAAAGTAAAACATCTGATACAGAAACAGTCGATCAGTGACTGAAGAATAATGATCATATGTTCAGATGAAGTATGAAACATGTTCTGTGTAAATGATTCGTATCCTTATTCCTGAGAGCAGGTGAGAGCAGGTGAGAACAGGTGAGAACAGGTGAGAACAGGTGAGAGCAGGTGAGAGCAGGTGAGAACAGGTGAGAACAGGTGAGAACAGGTGAGAGCAGGTGAGAGCAGGTGAGAACAGGTGAGAGCAGGTGAGAGCAGGTGAGAACAGGTGAGAACAGGTGAGAGCAGGTGAGAGCAGGTGAGAACAGGTGAGAACAGGTGAGAGCAGGTGAGAACAGGTGAGAACAGGTGAGAGCAGGTGAGAGCAGGTGAGAACAGGTGAGAACAGGTGAGAGCAGGTGAGAACAGGTGAGAACAGGTGAGAGCAGGTGAGAGCAGGTGAGAAAAGGGGTCTGTACTACGAAGCAGGATCTGAGGACGGTGGTTCCCTTGTTACCGAGGTAAATCACCATGGTAACTGATGCTGAACTCCTGACCTGCTCCGGCGCAGGTTAACTCAGAGGATCAGATCAGAACCTGTCAACAGCCAAACTACTGACCAGTCAGATCACCTCTCCTCCTCTTCCTCTCCTCCTCTTCCTCTCCTCTTCCTCTCCTCCTCTTCCTCTCCTCCTCTTCCTCTCCTCTTCCTCTCCTCCTCTTCCTCTTCCTCTCCTCTTCCTCTCCTCCTCTTCCTCTCCTCTTTCTCTCCTCTCCTCATCCTCTCCTCCCTCTCCTCTCCTCTTCCTCTCCTCCTCTTCCTCTCCTCATCCTCTCCTCTTCCTCTCCTCTTCTCTTCCTCTCCTCTCCTCATCCTCTCCTCTCCTCTTCCTCTCCTCATCCTCTCCTCTTCCTCTCCTCTCCTCTTCTCCTCTTCCTCTTCCTCTCCTCTCCTCTCCTCTTCCTCTCCTCTTTCTCTCCTCCTCTTCCTCTCCTCATCCTCTCCTCTTCCTCTCCTCTCCTCTTCCTCTCCTCTTCCCCTCCTCTTCCTCTCCTCTCCTCATCCTCTCCTCTCCTCATCCTCTCCTCTTCCTCATTCCTCTCCCTCTCCTCTTCTCCTCTTCCTCTTCCTCTCCTCTTCCTCTCCTCCTCTTCCTCTCCTCCTCCTCTCCTCTCCTCATCCTCTCCTCTTCCTCTCCTCTCCTCTTCCTCTCCTCTTCCTCTCCTCTTCCTTTTCCTCTCCTCTCCTCCTCTTCCTCTCCTCTTCCTCTCCTCTCCTCTTCCTCTCAATTCTTCACTCAAGGGTCACTTACTGAGAAAACAGCTCGAGGATCATAAAAGAAACCCAAATTAGTTTTAAGAAAGTGAAACAATAATTAAACGAACAAAATAAATCACATGTAAAATAGAATCAAGTGGAAACTGAAGGTTTCAAACAGCTGTTTGTAGTCCTGGTCTCAGTCTGGACCTGCTCTTGGTCTCCAGACGACGAACCTGAACCCTTCTGATGCCCCCCCCCCAGGACAAACGGGGGAATGTGAAGTCTGGCCTGCAGGGGGCGCTGACAGGAGTTCAGGACTGTTTATGTTGTTTTATCAAAGCTGGAGTTTTACGTAGGAACCAGAGATGTCCGTGAACGCAGCACAAAGTCCAATCAGAGAAATAAAAGATGAAAACCAGGATCTGAGTCTGATCCGGACCCGATCTGACTCCACTGATGCAGACTGGAGAGAGTGTGATGGAGGAGGGGAGGAGGGGAGGAGGACGGGGGGAGGAGGACGGGGGGAGGAGGGGGCAGTGCGGATTCTTTCCCGTCATTCCCTGCAGCAGCAGCAGCAGCAGCAGCAGCGGCTCCTCCTGTCTGTCTCTCCGTCCGTGGCTCCGTCTCTCCGGCTCCGGCTCTTCGTCCTCTCCGCTGAACTTTGGAGACTGTTGGATCTTCTGAGCAGGTGAGCGGCCTCCTCTGTGTTTCTACCTGTTTCTATTGTGTCTCTATTGTTGCTGTGATTGGAGGGAGGGAGCGACTCCCGGAGCCGCGGATCCTCCGCAAACTTCGCTTCATGTCGGAGGAGCCGCGGCTGAATCCACTGATCGGACTCGACTCGGGAGCAGAGAGTCCCGGGCTCCCGGAGGCCCCGGTCCTCTCTCCCGGCCCGATCCGCACCATGCAGCCGTGCCGCGGTGCCTCTCAGCCCGCATGTCCGCTGCTCGTCCCCCCGCCCCGCCAGCAGCCATTTGTCTCGGCATGAGGATGGAGGATAATAACGGTGCGCCATGCATGGACGCAAAAACAGGCGTGGCCCCGGGAGGAGGAGGAGGAGGAGGAGGAGGAGGAGGAGGTGGTGTGTGTGTGTTAATGTGTGTATTCAGGACAATAAACAGTGGAGCTTCTCACCGACCCAAACAGTCTGACCGCGCGCAGCTGCGGAGGTTTTTAGCGGCAGAATGAGCGGGAGGTGTCCGGCCTGCAGCAGCTGTCCCCGGCTGGGGGAGGCTGGTGCTGGGCGGCGCGATCAGAGCTGAGCAGAAAATACTGGAAAACAGACCGGTGGAGAGACTGAGGAGCCGAGCCGAGCCGAGCCGAGCCGAGCGGGCCCGTCTCCGAAATACCCACCCAATACGCGGGTCGGTTGCAGAAACATTGTGGGAACGTTTTTCCGACGTTCAGTGAATCACTGCAAACACAACAACATCACCCCCCGCCCTTCTCACCCCCCCTTCCGTTTTCTGCTCGGTATGTCTGTATCTCCAGAACCGTTATGTTGTTGAACAGGGCCGTACCCAGTTCAGCAGACCCCCCTCCCCACACCTGAAAAAGCCCCCTCACCACAGTTTGCTAACAGTTGCTTCATGTTTACTGTGACGCTGCAGCTCTGGAACTAGAACAGTTCCTGAACCTCACGGGTTCTGGTGTGAAACGTTCTAAAGTTCACAGAACAGAGTTCAGTTTGATCAAAGAAGAACTTAATAGATCATTAACAGAAACATCATATAAACTTAAAGCAGGGAACGTCCATATTTGGCTGTAGGAACGTTCTCTGAATGTTTTCTAAAGACTCAACAGAAACGTTCCCTTCATGTTCTCGTACTGTTCTGTCAGATCCTCCTTGAAGTTCTCCACGGAATTCAGTTCTTATAATTTACCTCCATAGAACATCTGGAAAACGTTCCCTGAAGGTTCTGCTGTAAAACTTATTAAAAGAACATCTGAGGAACCTTATTTTAAACATACGAATGTTATCCATACGTTAAAAAAATTCCAGCACTATTTGGTTGTAGGAACAAACCAAAGTTAATGAAACCCCAACATTCCTGTGATGTTCTTTTAAGGTTCCACCTCTTTAATGTGATGAGTTGCAGCTTTTTGTGTATTTTGAATGTTCTATGATGATCTGGGTTTTGGACAAAACGAGGAAGTTTAAAATCATGGGCTCAGGAACTTTAAAGAACATCTTTTATCATGTTCTGCCTTTTAGGCCAAAAAGTCAACAAACTAATGTTGAAAAGAAAAATTGTTACAGTTACAGTTCTACAAAGAATGTTCCCCAAGTACCTCCACAGACCGTTCTCCAGTTGTTACACATAAAACATTCACTATGTTCTTGTGTCATTACATTTACCTCCACAGAACGTTCTTTAAAGGTTTCTAATTTACAGTTTTCTAAAGTAACATTTTAACAAACATGAACTCACACGTTCCTGAGAACAAGTACAGGAACCTTCAGTCAACAATATTCTCAGAAACATTCTGAGAATGTTTTTCTAAAGTCAAGAGAATCCCAACTGTCTTATAACGTTCCTTTAAAGTTCCCTTTAAGTGTCGAAGAACCTCCCCTGTCACTAACAGTTCCTGTGTGATTAGATTTACCTCTATAGAACATTTGTTCCTTGAAGGTTCTAT